CCCTCTGACCCTATCTCCTCTCATGTGTTCTCTCTCATTCTCTCTCTCTCAAATAAATATATAAAATCTTAAAAAAAAAAAAAAAACCGAGTAAAACTAAAATCAACTACATGATACTTTATGAAATTTACTTCAATTACAACCTAACGATCAGATTGGGAAATGGAGAGAAGGATGTATATTATTTTTTCAAAACTTGGGAGCTGTTTCCCTTAATTGCTTTTTCTTTCAACACCACCAATATATCTTTATTAGATTGCCCTGTGAAATTTGGAACTTAATAACATTATTTATATTATGCTTTCTAAGCTGATGAATACAATGTAATTATTGTTCACTAATTAAGGGACTGAATTTGGCATCCTGATCTGGAACTCCAGGCTCATGGGCCACCTAAAATGCCCCAAAATTCGTAGGAAAGCTGCAGAAAGGAAAATACTTACTATACATTAATCGTAATATCTAAATGCGCACACATATATATTCAAGTAAATATACATATCTTATATATATAAGTATATACCTAAATACATAAGTATTTTCTTTGGTAGAAGTTTTCATGTGAATGTTGGGGCATTTTGCCCAAAGAATCTGTTCCAGGCCCAACCGTCTGGGAAAAGCATGTGGGAAAAACAGGCAGCTGGTCAGGTACCTCTACCCCATCCTTTCACTATAACTAGAGGCCCCTCCTGTCTCCTTCTGGTCTCCTTGATTAATACAGTCAACTACTCCTCTTTCCAGAAGGCAATACAAAATAACTATTCTCTAGGAGTACCCATGCTATGTGGTATCCAGGAAAAAAAAAATCACGAAAGATCACGTTTTAAAATTTTAAGGTGATTCTCAAAAGGTTAAACATAGAGTTACCATATGACCCAATCAGTTCCACTCCTAGGCATATACCCAAGAGAAACAAAAACATACATCCACATGAAAATTTATACACGAATGTTCATAGTAGCATAATTCATAATAGCCCCAAAGTGGAAATAACCCAAATGCCCATCAACTAATGAACAGATAAACAAAATGTTTTCTATCCATACAACGGAATATTATTTGCCATAAAAAGCAATGAAATACTGGGCGCCTGGGTGGCTCAGTTGGTTAAGCGACTGCCTTCGGCTCAGGTCATGATCCTGGAGTCCCGAGATCGAGTCCCGCATCGGGCTCCCTG